TTGCTGCAGGAATGATGAATTAGGGTCAATGGAGCAAAAAGATGCAAAAAGGAGCGAATTTGGAGCAAAAAGGACCAAAATAAGAATTTTTCCCCTGGAACGTCGACGGCGCCATTGACGCCGCCGAAGGCGGGTTTTTCCCGAGAGTCCAGAATTAAATATTCTAGAAGGCCGCCGGCCGCCCCGCCGCGGCCGCCCGCGGGGCGCCGTCGAGGCCGCCGACGGCAAGAACAACGGTTCTCTCAATAGATGCATTGAATGTGGATGATTTTTGAAGGGGCGCTTAGGCAACTCTTGAAAACTCTTCTACAACTTTAATAGAAACATTTTGGAGGCCGAAAAGGGGGAGTCTGAAGTGTCCAGAGAGTGTCGAGAGGTCTACGGGTGTCCAGGGGAGTGTAAGAGTGGAAGGAAAGTGAGAGATTTCTTCCTCCTTGCCGCCTCGTATAGAATTTTGTGTGTTGTAAAAGAAAGGAAGAGATTCAGAGGAACTTCGAGGAGTTTCTTAGGGAGGAATTCAAGATAAGCTGTATTTACTTATTGTATTTTGTATGACTTTGCCTTTATATATGAAATCCAAGTTTTGTCATATCTTCTTCATGAGTTCTGAGTAGTTTTCTCTGTCTTTCTTCTTGTCTTGAGATTTTGTGAAATGGTGATTTGAATTGGTTGTGTTGGTTGAGCCATGAGAATGATAAAGAAGTTATGATGATCTTTTCAGCGTTAAAGCAAATTAAATTTTTTCCTACTTTCAATCTGGCCAATTGATTTGTTAAAATATATTGAGTTTTACAACTAAATTGAGGATTACATCAAAGATTTAGGGAGGTTAAATTCCTTAAAAGTTGGGTGCAAATAAATAGGGAAATAAAAATTATCGGGTGTAGAATTGGAGATTTTAGAGCGACAGACTAAAATCCTCAATTCGGTCCTATCGTTTGGGTACTGAAGTGTAGATGTCGTTTTAGATGTTAGCCCTCAGGCTAGGGGAACGTGGGAGCTCCGAAGTGAGAGTCGGTATCCTCCCAACCTAGCTGCAGATTCAGTAACCAAGCATAGGATTACTCAATGTTCTTTATGCCTGGTCCAAAGGGTAAAGAATAGGTATGCCCTTATTTGACACAATACAATTTGAACTGATTCAATTTATCCATTCACTTAAATTTCTTGACAAGGAGAAGGATGCTTTCTTATATATTGAACTTCACATTAGAAACTTTATTTATAGAATTAGTTGATTGAGAGTTTATTAAAATTACAATTTTATTTTAATTGCCTATTAGTGACAAATATGCAATTTGCACTATGTTGTTGTGATTAAGTATCGGGATCGATATCCAGGACTCCATTAGAGCCCTGTATTACTTGAGCGATATGTATACTTGCTTTGATAAGTGTGACTTTGCAATTATTGAATATTTTATATACATCTTTATCAAATCTATAATTGTTGTCAAGTTTTTTGCGCCTTTGCCTGGGATTTAAATCTTCTAGCAGCAGTATCAAATTCTTGTATTTTTTAGCATATATAAAGTCTCTATCAGTGACTATGCTTTGGGTTATGGTGGTTACGGTGTGGTGGCTATGTTGTTGTTTCTGGTAGCTGTGCTGTTGGTTTTTTTGGCTGTTTTGTGGGTTATGGTGGTTGTGTTACAAGTTGGGGTGGTTGTGATATGTGTGGAGGTGAAAAAATTTTTTTAGGTTGGTAGCCCCTAGATTTGCCTTGAGAAACTCTTTAAAGGAAGCTTGAAAGAGAGTTTTTTAATGATCATCATCAATAACATGTAGGCATCATCTTCATTTTCTCCAGGAGATAGTTGAAAATAAATTCATAGACATCCCCACCATAATAAGATGCAACATGAATATAAAATAATTTTTTGGTGTAAATTCAAAGCACATTTTGCTAAATTTAAGCAGCTAAATGAGCCTACATAGATTTTTGTTAGGGTCTATTTGTGTGGTTGTGATATGTGTGGGTGGAAGTGGCTGTGAATGGTGGTTGTGTTGTGGGTTATGGTGGTTGTGGGTTGTGGTGGTTGAGCTGTGTGTTATGGCGGTTGTGGTGTGGTGGCTGTGTTGTTGGCTCTTAAGCTGTGGGTTGTGGTGGCTATGTTGTGGGTTATGGTGATTGTAATGTGTTGAGTGTGCTATGTGTGATGGTGAAAATTATTTTTGTGGGTTATGGTAGCTATCTAATATTAATGTTTTGTTTTTCTATGCCAGTAACACAATGGTTGACTAAAGAAGTCAGTTCATCCATGTGGGATAACGAAGCTAAAATCATATTTTGTGACTTTTGTCTTAAGGAGATTAAGCTGAGAAATATGGCCATCACCCTTTTTAACAAGTAAAGGTGGCAAAATATTATGAAGAAGATCAAAGAAATGACAGAAAGGGAGTACGATAGGTTGCAACTTAAAAAAAGTGGGAACAATTAAGGAATGATTGAAAATTATTAAAGGAATTAAAACGAGGATCTAAGGCTTAGGTTGCGATCCAATCAAACACACTATTGATGCTTCAAAAGATTGGTGGCTAAGAAATTAGAGGTAATAACTTATCTATGAAAGACTTGATTTTCGTTACTTTTTCCAACTGAAATGTTTAAAGTAATAAACTTGCTTGTATATTGCAGATAGTTCTAGCCTCCAAGAAATTCAAATATAGTAGAATTATGATTTGGACAAAAAATTAGACTATATGTTTGGTGGGGTTGTGGCAACGGGGTCTTATGCCAGGACCCATGGGGAGCATGAGGGTGCAGGCATACCGAAGGGCTTGGATGCTGAGCAGGTAACTGGCTCCGATGAAGGCCTAAGCCCAAACAAAAATGAACTGTATTCCACATGCAGATTAAACTCTCATAGAGTGGAGAAAAAAAAAAGAAGGAACTGCTTTTATCAGAAGCTAAATATCAGAACCAGTGGCTTCATGAATGAATGTACCTGCGACCTTTGTAGACTTTGGTGATAAGTGGGTTATAAATTTCTAGAGGTAATTCTCAAAATTTATGAGGACATGTTATATTAGAACTCCATATAGTTGCTAATGAACCCCACCCGTAGAGAGATCTTCATGAAGATAGCCCATGACCGTAGGGTCAATTATTTGTGTTTTTTTTCTTACAGCAAGGACAATTGATTTTATGTGGTTATTGTTGTACTGCTTGGATTTTTTTTCTTATAGTTTATCGAATTTCTGATTTGGATGTTTTTTTCTTTCTCGTAAGATCAATCTATATGTTATTATGTATTTGCGTCTTCTTACTTTATGCATTTTTATTTGAGTTATGTAGTTTTTTAGTGTTGTTCGATTGATATGTAATGCCTGAATAGAGCACTTCTTTAACATGGACTCACAAAGAGTGAAGTGCGGAAGGAAAATTGTTACAACAGTTTGTATGTTGTACGGCTACTACAACTCATATATTGATCGAACTCCCTGTATGACATCTAATTACTTTGGTGATAAATGGGTTGGAGAGTTACTATAAGGACATGGTACAAGATTCAACAACATATTTCGTATGACACAGCATATATTTATAAATCTACTTGATAAACTACATAGGAACCACAGACTTCATGGCTCTTTAAGTATGATAACCATAGAGGTGTTAGTCATAACCCTCTACATCTTATCACAGAATGAATCAATAAGAGAAGCGATGGAGCAATTTCAGCATTCATCGGAGACAATCAGTGGATATTTCTCAGTGGGTTTGAAGGCTTATGTGAGTTTTTCAGCAAAGATTATTAAGCCAGAGGATTCAACATTTGAGAGGAAACCAATAGAGATTCTAAATGACCCATGGTATATGTCATTCTTTAAGATAAATTTTTTTACCAATTATATTCAGAAGTCAAAATGAGTAGTGTAATTAAAAAAATTTTACTAATTTGTCAGAACTGTATTAGAGCGATCGATAGAACCCACGTGGATGCACGCGTATCCAACAATGAAAAGATCACATTCATTGGATGGTGTGGATTATCAACAAAAAAATGTGATTGTAGAGTTATGTTGTTTTCATTGATAATTTTCCTATGTAGGGATTTGTTTTTTCTTAGTTGAGTTGTATTTTGTGATTTGATACTTTTCATTTCGTACTTTCGTTTTCTTTTAATAAAATTGAGTCATTGAGTGTGACCCCCATTTCTAAAAACAAAAGAAAAATGTCTCTTTGCTCAATTACATTATGCATTGATTACAAATAAAATAAAAAATTAAGCTATTTGATACAAAAGCTCCGTCTACATGATCATATACATGAACAAAACAGCTTCATTTGGAAAGCTTGTGCGCTATTTATTCGCGTTTCAAATCAGCTCGAACGCTTCAAATCATGTTGCACTTTCCATGAGATTCGAACGGGGCCAACAAACATCGATCAAAATTAGCAAACCAGCAAACCAGCAAACCTGCGTCGCTTCCTATCCGATTACACCCGGGACTTCCGGTCCAATTACACCTGGTCCAGATCCTGCCGAAAGCTCCTATTTATACCCTTTCAGATGATACCAAGATTTTATTTTCCAGCGATTCTGGAGCTCGGCTTCCCCAACCGTCTCTTACAGATCGATTCGTCAGACGAACTTTTGAATGGTAGGAGATTCTTTGAGTTTACCCTCTTTTCCCACATCAAAGAAGACGGAATCCGCCGCCGTCTTTTCATTCGTTGTTACCGTCTTATCATCGTCCGACGCCTCTCCCTTCGCCTCCTGCATGGAGGGCTGGCACTACCGCTGCCTTGGCCTCCACCCGTAGATTTCTGCCTCATCGATATTCTTTTGATCTTCCCGTTTAGGCGTTTCGAATAGTTGATCACGGTGGCTATGGCTCTCCCAACAACGCCGATCAGAATGAGGCTTGGGAAAAGCGAGAAGCCCGAGATGAAGATTATTGGAAATAAGGAGAGCAATCGGATCCTTATCTCCGTATCCGTGCTTGGAAGTTCTGGTCCGATCCGCATTGTAGTGAGCAAGGACGAGCTCGTCTCTGTCGTCGTCGGGACCGTGCTAAAGACCTACGCGCGAGAGGGCCGCCGACCCATCCTTGGCTGCAACCACGATGATTTCGTCCTATACCACGCCCTTGACGGGTCGAATGGTAGCACTCCTTACTCTGTTTGCTTTCGTTGTATGCGATCGTTATTTTATTAGGGTTAGGGTTGCTGAATTTCTTGAGCTTGATTCCAGGTTTGAATCCATTGGAACCGATCGGCTCGTTCAGAAGCAGGGATTTTCTGATGTGCAAAAAGCAGAGGTTGTCCGGTGAGGAGTTGTCTGCAACACCTGGAAGGAAGATGGAAAAGAAAGGCATGGGTGTCTGGATGCCCTGCCTGGATTGGCTTCTTTCTTTGACCTCTTCTGAGTGAGTGCTCTTTTATAGGGAGGTCCTGGCGTGTTTGATTGCTCTTTATTCTTAATTCATTCAGGGGAGATGAGGAATATAGGCTAAGGGAATGATGTTCCCTACAGATTATCTGATACGAATTCTCGAACTGACTATGATTTTCTTTTCTCAGTTGCAGAATGGAGCAAGTTAATAAAAAAGACATTACATTCATTACTTAGAGCTGGTTTGGGATTACTTTTTATTTTTAAAAATATATTTTTTAGTATAATTTCTAAGTGTTGTTATTTTGTTTCTGGAAATAAATTGATATATTTTTGAAAACAGGTAAAATAATTTTAGGTTTTTTTTGTGTTTTACAATCAATAATATTTAAATTAAATAGTCAAATATATTTTATTTCAAATTAAAATATAAATAAAAAAACTCCTCAATCTTAAACCCTTTGTCCAAAAAGATTTTATTTGTGTTTTAAAAATGCTTCGACGAAAGCCATTTGAACAAATTATTGCTTATTTATTAGCTAAGCTTGTCAATCAGATATATTTCTAACTGGATTTATTATTAAGGTGTCCTTGTTTTATGTGGATTGCGAGCACTTGTTTTTTTCATGTTGAGAAAAATTTGAGTGCCATAAAAAAATATTCAATTTAATAGAATATTGATAATACACACACACACTTATGTTTTCAAAAAGAATGGTCGGAGGATATTAGACGAGCTCCAACCACCCCTAATGTGCCTAACCACCCGAGTACCAACCTCATAGGCAAGGGAGGATTCGAACCCTAGATCAGAGGGGACTTATAACGGACAAAGTAGATATTCTACCAATTGATCTAAGAACGCGAAACATGTATATATCTATATATTGTGTATGCAATTATGTTAGCTAGAATCTCAAGACAATTCAACAGTTAAGTGAAATGACAACGAATGAAGGATTAGCCAATCAATCGTGAATGGGGAATCAACTGACCGGTTGACAATCCTAGGGCAAAATGGTTTCCCAAAAATAGGTCTAAAGATCAAGTCATTCGAAGATATGACGATCGACCAATAGCAAACCGATCGAATTACGACGTAACAATCGATTGGAAGCCAACAAGGCAAATCAAGGAAGAGCTCAAGAAAGAATCTCAAGATCATCAGAAGCGCGGCATAAAGATCGATTGGATGAGCCCAATTGTCATTTAATATATTTGATATATGTAATGTTCAAAAAAAATTCCTCAGAAACTAATGATTAGAGATCAAACATGTAATTTCAACATCCATTCTCCCATGTCTATAAATAGGGGTTATTTTTCAAAAAAAAATTACACATTTTCTATTGTTCATTTCTATCTTTCTTCCTTCTCTTTTTCACTTTTTCTGTGTTATGCTTTATTTTTTGGGCATGCTTCCTGGATATTATTGAATTTAACATCATTTTGGATGCGGTGAGCGTGAAACTATGCTGTCAACAAAAAATGGAGCACGCCAGCAGCAGGGAGACCAATCAGAGAGACATAGCGAGGGAAGCATGTACAAGGGAGTTTTTAGAAGAATTCGTTCAACAGGGACTGCAGGTTCTAAGAACCCAAATCATGAACCAAAGGTCAGGACAATTTTTAGAGGTCCTTAGAGTGGTTACAGCCTTAGGTGCAGCCTGTGTTTTGGATGGAGAACGTGCTCCACGAGAACCACGGACTCCTCCTCGAGTGGGGTCAAGGGATTTTCTTGAAATTCACATCAGTACACCATCCCCAGACCAACGGTTAGGTAGAAATTGTAAGATAATCTTTACCTTGTTGATGAATACGATCAAAGGAGTCGTGGGGAAATGGATCAATTTCGTGCCATCCGTCCTCTAGGCGACCAAAATAACACCTTCAACCGTACAAGGCAACAACAACAACAACAAAGCCTTAATCCCACTACATGGGGTCGGCTACATGAATCCTTTTTCTCCATTGCGTCTTTTAGTGTCATATTTTCATTTAGTTTAGTAAGTTAAGATCATTTTTAATACAGTAAGCCCAAGTCTTCCTAGGTCTACCTCTGCATTTCTTAACACAAGTCGAATCTAAAACATTTACTCTCCTAATTTACTCTTTGTTCGTCACAGGAGCTACACCAACCCTATCACGAATATATTCATTTCGCATTTTGTCTCTAAGTGTAAAGCCACTCATCCACCTAATCATTCTAATCTCGACAAGGAAAACAACATTTATGCCACGAATATCTTCAACCGTACAAGGCAAACAATATTTATGCCATCGCACGGGATGGAGACTATGCTACCAGTGGAATACAACCACCATAGCCAACTAGTTGTAACAGCTTCAGCTTTCGGTGAGGAACTTCCCAACTGGTAGGGGGCAAATGATGAAGAAGCAACACTTGCATTGGATGTGGTAAAGAAGGCTCAACCAATGCTACCCTTCAAAAAGAAGAGCTGAAGAGGTGCACTACGACAACTACAATAAGCATGTCCGAGTGAAAACTTTTGCTCCCAGAGATCTAGTACTAAAGAAGGCCGACCCAATCGCATGCGGGCAGTCGATCGACAAACTCGGATAGACTTGGACCAAACAATTTTTTGTCGACCAAAGGGTCGGCTTTGAAGCGTACAAGTTAAATTTCTACATTGGCTGAGGAGTCCCCTGAACATGGAGCGGAGATGACCTCAAATGTTTTGTCCTTCGTAATTCTTTAGTATCTACATACGAAAGATTAATACAAAGAGGCAATTTTGTTCCATTTTTATGACTGTGTACTATAAAAATGTGTAAAATATGAATTAGTTGATTGAATGTGCAACCCCAGGTCAAAATAACACTCGGGGAACACGAAGAGTTTATGTACTTCAACATCTACCCAATCCTCAGTGGAACTCGACCCTAAGAAAGCCAATAGGAATGCCAAAGACCTCCTCGAGAAAGTACAAAACTGGCCCGCGGTGCTCATGCGTCTTAAACCTTTTCCCAAACTTAAAATGGATGATGGTTCAGAGGTGGTTCCTTGCCTAGTAGAGACAAACTCTGCGATGGATAACACACCAATTACCCTAAAAGCAAGTTATGGTGGCTACCCCCATGAAGGTCTTCGATGTAGCCAAGCAAACGAGATAGAAATTCCCCAATTTATCTCCAAACTTGGCCTGATCAAAATTTTGGAGATGGTTCCTTGCCCAGTAGCGACAAACTCTGTGAAGTGTATCGTGCAAATCATCCAAGAATTGAGCCTTGATGGTACTCCATCCAGAGGAGATCCTAACAAGTAACAGAGATTCAGGTTAAGATGTGAGCCAAATAATAGAACGTAAGACCGATGATTCAAGTCGTATGATTGGTCATAAACACTAACAGAGCGATGTAAATCACTTGATTGGCACCCAATATCAAGGGTCGACCCACAACGCTCAAGAATCACTAAACTTACCCTTCTCAACTCAAATCGAATAGGGCTTGAGGTGGTACCCTGCTCAGTAGCGACAAGCTCCGTGAAGTGTACCGAGCAAATCACTATAGTTAAGTCTACAGTTATGGTGGTTCGACCGAGTAAGGAATGAAAAATTATAAGACTTGAGCTCGTTGACTGGCATGTCAAAGTCAAACAAATAGACCCTATCCAGTGACGGGCGTCCAAATGTCATACATATTGCAAGCAATAAACGATAAAGTAAAACACACAACGGTAAAAACAAAACAAGCAAAAATTGGCCCAAAGCATCGTATTGAATTTTGTTCATTTATTCTGTTAGTTATGAAATCATTCATTACATTGAACGTATAAAAAAGAGGACTAAACTTTTTTCAAAGTGCGGACATGTCAAGTGACTAAATTATGCATTGGAGGATCCATCATCGATCATCTTGAGACTCGCCGCCCTTGGCTGGTATTGAGAGAGCAGAAAGGAGCTTGACAGATTCTGCTAGAGTATTTCAGGCCGACTATTCATACCCATACAAATCGCTTGATTGCTAGTTTAGTGCCGAGCTAGAGATGCTTGGCCTAGTCCTCGATAAACTCTGCTAAGGTTTTTATGGCAGAGGCTTTCTCTCACAAGTCTATCTTTTTATCCAGAATGACGGAGAGCCACTTCGACTCGCCCTATAACTCTCCCTTCGCTTCAGCTAGTCAGGCTTTAGCCTCAGCCGCTTGTTTCTTAGCTTTAGCCAACTGAGCCACTACCTTAACAGCCCGTTCGTCAGCCACCAACGCTCGGGCCCCCACAAGCTTGGCTCGCCTCACTAACTTGGACTTTATATGCCATGGTATCGGGCCATCAGTTGGTGAGATAATGCGAGCCCTTGGAATTGGAAATGGTCGACCAAGCGACAAATCTCCCTCGGGTCACTCATTCAGTCGCTTCTCCAAGCATTTGGACTACAAGACATCCATGATTCTGGTGGCGTACTTGCTTGTGCTCGGACCATTTGAGTACCAATACAGTAGCATGTCAATGAGCGCAAACTGGGAGTCTCTGGTAACAAAAATTTCAGTTGTTACCCCTGCAACAACATCTAGTTGCTTGCTCTTCTGTATCTCTTCATCGGAGGTGGGGAAAGATAATCCTCAGGCTCTTCTAAGGGAGCCTCGCTTTTCAGTTGGCAAGCTTCCTCAGAGGCATTCTACTCACCCTCAGACTAAATCTTAACTTTGTCCAAGGCCTTCCCAACTGTCAAAGTAGTTTTAGACACCGACTCATGTTCGGGAGTCCTGGGAGATGGTCAACTAGCTTTCCCCTATTGGTGTGTCTACTGAATCTGGTAGGGTTCACCTGCAGGGGGATGGCAGGTGTCCGACCAGACTGCCCATAGGAAGGTTCCTCAGCATTCGAATGGAGGTAACTAGGAGTCCATATAGTTTCTTATTGAGAGACTTTCACTCCTAAATTCTTTAAAGTTGGCTTTTGTTTGATCAATATTAAATCGTCAGTGGAAATATTTTAGATTATAACTATCATTTTAGAAGTAGAATGTATTAAACTAGAATCTAGGACCCCAGTCGCAGGGTGAACAGTCGCTGATGCCTCTTTTCTCGTTCGGACAGCGGCTTAACATGGTATTTTTTTTTTCTTCATTTCCGACTGTAAGAACCGTTCTAGTCGCCATTTTTCCTACCTGAAATCATACGCCTCCCATTGCTCCAACGTTATATCCCTGAACTCCCTCGGTTTCTAAATTTTGTTGACTATTTTCTCATTAGTGTATTGGACAATCGACAAGAGCTTTCC